CAGCCATCAGTAGAGAGGTGGTTCTCCAGGCCTGAGCCCGTGTGGTTTGGCTGCCCAGGACGATCGTCACCCACGCTGGTGTCAATCCTGGGATCAGGTCTCAGAGCACCAAGGGCATCCCCAGCAAAGAAAGCAGACGTGTACCCGAGCTCCTGCGTGTGCTCAGCAGATGTTCCCTGCCACAAATGCCACACCCAGAGTTACACAGGGCCCTGCCTCTCCAGGATCACACCTGCTGACTAAGCTGAAAGCCACACGAGCAGATCCGTGACTTTAGAGGTGACATCACTGGAGGCAAAGAGCGGCACAGATCCAGATCTGGTCTCTACACAAGTCTGAGTCTTAGAGGCTGGAGATGTGTGGGTGAGCATGAAGTTCCTGGCCTGAGAGTGCCAGAGAGTGAGGAAGTGCTCAACACACACACATCAGACACTTACACACCTATATACAGGACATGCGTGTATAAATTCATATACACACATATCAAATATATATACCTGTACAAATATATGTAAGGCATGTGTAAGCATGCATTTGTGTGCACGTTTGTGTGCATGCACACACACACACACACACACACACACACACACACACATATATATATATATATATATATATATATATATATATATATATATATATATATATATATCTGCAGTCTGAGTGGTGAGAACCAGTGATGTGGTATCTTTAGCCCACCTCTGTTGCAGACTTAACACCCTAGGAACAACAGATAAAACTTTTTAGAGTGTGTTGACTTAGCAGACCACGAACTTCCACTGACCCAGACTCTGAGAAAGTCATCGGACAGCAGCCGAGGCTGATTGCAGCTGAGATCCCAGCTTGTTGCGACCCCTTTCTGGGGACCTCACCAGTGCAGCTGAGATCCCAGCTTGCTGCGGCCCCTCTCTGGGGATCTCACCAGTGTATTTTAAAAGCATCTTGGTTTATGACTTTCTTTGTTACTATAAAAACTTGGCAAAACTGCTTCCACACTGACGTGACAGCCTGAATCTGTTCCCAGGCCACAGTCACCCGTGTTAGGCTCCAGAATAAACTACCTCTTATCCCCCTTTGAGATGAAATTTTTGCATCAAAAATATGTATAGATGTGTGTTCCTTAGGTACATGTGTGAGACACATGCACGCCCAATTATACATATTCATATATATGCATATATAAACATCCATGCATGCAAATACATCTGACATACATGTAGGCACATATACATAGGACAATGCATGTGAATGAATGTATACATGAATGTGAACCTATAAACAAATATACCAGCCAGAGGCACAAGTGTACACACACACACACACACACACACACACACACACACACGTCATACAGGTGCACACACGGGCAGACACATGCATATGGGCACAACCCTCCCCATGGCGGTGACCTTTGCTCAGTTGGTTGAGTCGGATCCTGCTGAGATTCTGTATCTGGGACTGAGTGGACAGAGTGTGATGAGACACACACTCAGAGTCTGTGTGCTTCCTCCCCACACCGTGACCTCCCTCTCCTCTCGACAGCGATGCAGCAGTCCTACACAAGCCCTGGCCAGCTGCCAAGGCCACTCATGGGAGTGAGGAGATGTGCCCGCGGAATGTCCTGGGGGTCTGGGATGGGACAAAGAACACAGAGTAAAACTTAAGGCAACCTCAGTAAGGTACAGACATGGGTTGCTAGAGTGACTCACCGACGTGGTTCACAAACCACAAACGCACCACAGTGTGGGGGTGTTAGGAGAGAGACACGGGGAGTGTGGGTATCCCCTACACCGTCAGGACCACTCTCCCATACCACAAAACTCTTACAAAATCAAAACTTCACGAATAGCTGGGGATGTAGCTCAGTTAGTAGAGTGCTGGCCTACCAAGCAGGAAGCCCTGGGTTCGAGGCCCAGCACCACATAAACTGGGCCTGTTGGCACATGTCTATCATCCTAGCACGTGGACAGTAGAGGCAAGAGGGTCAGGAGTTCAGAGTCATCTCCAGCAACACAGTGGGTTCAAGGCCAGCCCGGGACACATGCAAGCCTATCTCAAAAACAAGATTTTATTTTTAAAATGGGCTGGAGGGTTGGCTCAGCAGCTAAGGTATGTGTTGCTCCTGCAGAGGACCAGGGTTTGGTTCCCAGCACCCATGTGGTAGTTCACAACCATCAATAACCCAGTCCCACGGGATCCAACGCCCTCTTCTGACCTAGACAGGCAGTTAAGTAAGAACTTGTAAGGTGGAAAAATGCCCGGCTTCTTGGGGCTGTTAGTGAAGAAGCAGCCAGGCCTGATGGAAACGGAGGACTGCACATCCCGGGGGCTGTGGGAGGAGTGAGACAGATGGATGCCAGAGGGCAGCTGCACACATCTGCATCCTTCCATCCCAGAAAGATCAGAGTGGCCTGGGGGCACAGGCTCAAGAGAGGAAATGCAAATAAATAGTAAGTAATAAATTAATTAAATAATAACTAATAAAATGAGCAAACAGGGCTCTAGGAAGAGGCTGAGAACTAGCAAGTGACTGCTGCTTCCATCCCATTGGTCAGGATGAGATCACATGGCCAAACCTCACTGCATAGGATGCTGGGATACGGGGTCTTTCTTGCCATCATCTTACCACTGAAGAGCGTGTGTGAGTGTGTGTGTGTGTGTGTGTGTGTGTGTGTGTGTGTGTATTTTTTTTTTTTTTTTTTTTTTTTTGGTCTTTCGAGACAGGGTTTCTCTGTGTAGCTTTGGAGCCTTTCCTGGAACTCACTTAGTAGCCCAGGCTGGCCTAGAAATCACAGAGATCTGCCTGGCTCTGCCTCCCGAGTGCTGGGATTAAAGGTGTGCGCCACCACCGCCCTGCTGAAGAGCGTATATTCTAAGAGTATTTTTATATAACCTGAACGTCCTGCCCACTATAAGGCCCTGACCCCTCCACAGCCCTCAATCCCTTGGAGAGCCACCCCATCCCACCTCCTAGCGCAGGAAACTCCCTCACCTTCACATCCATCCCCTGCCAGGAAGCCTTCCTGTCTACCTACTGCATCCTTTAGGTCCCAGCAAATGGCAGTGTCCTCAGAGGAGCCTTCAGGGCTGTGCCCCACGCTGGTGGACCTGAAACCCTCGAGTGCCCTCCTGAGCAGCCCACAGTTCCTCCTCGGCCAGCACTCGTGTGTGTCTGCCCTGCACAGATGCCTCCCCACCAGGGAAGGCCCACAGTTCTGAACAGCAGTTCGGATTCCTTAGTGTCTTGTTCGCCGAGATCCTCAGCCTCCAGAAGGAATCAAAAGTGTGTCTCTGTGGGTCCCAGAAGAGGGAACCTGTGTGCTGTGGGTGCTGGCTGCACCTCAGCAGAGGCTTCTGATGGCTTCTGTGTCACAACGTGCAGGGTTAACCCCGGCTGGCTGTGTCCACAGGGAGCAGGAGTCCTGAGGAAGGCTGCAGCTCACAGAGTTTCACCTCCTGACTCACCCCATGTTCCCTTTTCTTCTTTCTGCCAAACCTGCACATCTTGCTCATCCACCCCTCACCCCCACCGCCCCTCACCCCCACCGCCCCTCACCCCCACCGCCCCTCACCCCCACCGCCCCACACCCCCACCGCCCCTCACCCCCACCGCCCCACACCCCCAACCTCCCCTCACCCCCCACCGCCCCTCACCCCCACCGCCCCTCACCCCCACCACCCCACACCCCCAACCTCCCCTCACCCCCACCGCCCCTCACCCCCACCACCCCACACCCCCACCGCCCCTCACCCCCACCGCCCCACACCCCCACCCTCCCCTCACCCCCACCCTCCCCTCACCCCCACCCTCCCCTCACCCCCACCCTCCCCACACTCCCACCCTCCCCTCACCCCCACCCTCCCCTCACCCCCACCACCCCTCACCCCCACCCTCCCCACACTCCCACCACCCCTCACTCCCACCCTCCCCTCACCCCCACCAACCCTCACCCCCACCGCCCCTCACCCCCACCACCCCACACCCCCACCAACCCTCACCCCCACCGCCCCTCACCCCCACCCTCCCCTCACTCCCACCACCCCTCACTCCCACCACCCCTCACCCCCACCACCCCTCACCCCCACCCTCCCCTCACTCCCACCACCCCTCACTCCCATCACCCCCACTATGTCTGACTCACCACACCCCAGAGCTCCTTACAAGACCAAGGAGGGGAGAGGGGCCCAGGCTGGGATGTCCTGTGGGCAAGGCTAACCTTAGGGTCAGTGCAGACCTGGGCCTGAGAAGCTGGTCCCACAGGTCTTCACCCAGCTATGCTGAGGACCCCTCAGGCCTTCTAGCATCAGTGGTTGGAGAGGAGGCTGTGGTGGTCTGAATGAAAATGGCCCCATAGGCTCATAGGGATTGACACTATTGGAGGTGTGGCCTTCTTGGAGGAAGTGTGTCTCTGGGGTTGGGCTTTGAGATTTCAGAAGCTCAAGCCGGGCTCAATGGCTCACCCTCTCTTCCTGGTGCCTGATAATCCAGATATAAAACTCTCAGTCCCTCTCCAGCACCAGTGTCTGCCTGTGTGCCGCCATGCTTCCCGCCATGATGATAATGGACTAAACCTCTGAATGCTTTCCTTTAAAGAGTTGCCATGGTCATGGCATCTCTTCACAGAAATAAAACCCTAGGACAGAGGCCCACCCACCCTGCCTCCAGCTGGGTTCTCCTCTGAGATCAGAGGAGCTGGGAGTTTCTGTGAAGACTGAGTAGGGGGCAGTTTCCGGTGACAGTCAACCTTCCAGGCTCTGAGACACAGGACCCCCTCCTCCATCAGAAGGATACTGGAGGATGAAGGGAGAGAGAGGGAGGAAGCAGGGGACTCCATTAGAGATAGAAGCCATCCCAGGCTCACACACCCCTCACGTGCAAAGTCTAGGCTGGTGACAGCCTGTCTCTGGAGATACATGGGATAAGAGGTCTGGCTGACCCTGGGACTTTGCTCCACTCCTGGCCTGAGCTGTCTGTGCACCTGTTCATCCAAGTGCCCATCATGGGACACTCAGCTGTGCTCCTCGCCGTGGCTCTGGCCATCCTCCTGGCCTGTGGGACTGGGGCTCCGGTCCAAAGGCAGCGCAAGTTACTCCTCGTATCCTTTGATGGCTTCCGCTGGAACTATGACCAAGACGTGGACACCCCTAACCTGGACGCCATGGCTCAAGAAGGGGTTAAAGCTCGATACATGACTCCTGCCTTTGTGACCATGACCAGCCCTTGCCACTTTACAATCGTCACTGGTGAGTGTCAGCCTCAGGACGGGGCTTGGGAATGGAAGGAGCCTGAGACGTCGGGTGGCAAGTGGGAGGCACCCTGGTCAAAAGTGAGAGGTCACTGCTTTGAGGAGCGGCCTCCAGTGGGATCCAGAGCCCAGACAAGGGCCCTTTAGGAGTCTTCTTTGGTGGCACCTGGTCAAGGGCTTGTTCCACAGCTGTCCCATGGGGGTGTGTTGTAGGACCTTCAGGTGACTGTGGGCTCCCAAAGTCTCTTCCCTGGGCTTGCTCCACACATGCCCTGCCCCTCTGCTCCCCTCTCAGGCAGATACATTGAGAACCATGGGGTTGTCCATAACATGTTCTACAACACCACCACCAAGGTGAGGTGGCCTTACCACACCACGCTCGGAATCCAGAGGTGGTGGGACAACGGCAGCATACCCATCTGGATCACAGCCCAGAGGCAGGTAAGATGGCCCTGCCCATGGGGAAACTGGGGCCATGACCAAGGGGGAGCCACAGCAGACTCACACATCCCTGCCTCCTGGCATAGAAGGTTGCTCAGTGAGCTCCTGACGACCATGCAGGCTCAGCTATGGTCTCAAGGGAGACCAGGACTGAGGGTGTAGCAGGGTTGGCAGAGGGCTTGCCCGGCATGCATGAAGCTCTGGGTTCTAGCCTCAGCCCTGCAGAAAGCCAGGTGTGGTGGGGCACACCTGCAGGAGGATCAGGAGTTCAAGGTCATCCTTGGCTACATAATGAGTCTGAGGCCAATCTGGGATATGCAAGACCCTATCGATGAAGGAAGGAGAGAAGGAGGAGGGAGAAAGGGAGGGGGAGAGAGGGAGGAGGGGAGGGAAGAGGGAGAGAAAGGCTGGGGAGGGAGGCAGGCCACACCCTTGGGCCCTTTGGCTCTGAAGAGGAGGATCACCTTCACACTGGGTAGCTAACTCAATAAGGAAGTGCTGAGCAAAGAGCCTTTATCTGGTTCTGAGTCCAACACTGGGCATTTGGACGCTAAAGATTGAACAGGTGGGTGCAGTGTGAGACCAGGAATCACCCCAATTTGCAACGCCCCAGGGGATTTTTCAAGTGAGGCTTCTAGTCAGTCAGGTCAAAGGGAGGATTTCCTGGAGGGCAGGAACAACACTCAGCCCACGGCCCATGTTTCCACTTCCACCTGAGTGAGAGACTCCAGTCATGTGGCACTTGGAGCTCCAGCTCCAGAACCAAAAAACCAAGTGAGAACTCAGCCTGCCCTGATGCTCCATCCAGAGGCGAGAATGAGGGAACCCGGCAGGAGCAACTGACAGGAACCACAGGCTTGTGAAAACAGGGGCTTGGAGACAGACAGAATGGGCAGCAAGGATTTATGGGATGGTGGATGAGCAAGTGGATGGGATGGGGTGGACAGAGGAGAAGACATTGAAGGAGGCCAGGAAACAGCTGAGCCTCGAGGAAGGATGCTGAAGGACATGGCACGTGGGGACATTTCCCATCCACAGTCTCAGTTCGTGCTCGAGGACACTGGGTGCTTGTCCCCTGGACGAATTGTCCCTTTCCCTGATCTGTGAAATAAGATCGACTTAGAAAACAAAAGGCCTCCAGGCAGTGGGCAAAGTGGATGAGGGGCCCAGAGAGAAGCCAGCAGCTCGTGGAGCTTATGTTACCTTATCCTGCAGGGCTTAAAAACTGGCTCCTTCTTCTACCCTGGCGGGAACGTCACCTACCAAGGAGAGGCCGTGACAATGAGCCGAAAGGAAGGCGTCTTCCACAATTACAAAAATGAGACGGAGTGGAGGGAAAATGTGGACACTGTGATGAAGTGGTTCACGGAGGAGGATGCGGCTCTGGTTACTCTCTACTTCGGGGAGCCAGACTCCACCGGCCACAAATACGGCCCTGAGTCCCAGGAGAGAAAGGATATGGTCAAACAGGTGGACAGGACTGTGGGCTATCTCCGGGACAGCATCACGCGCCACCGCCTCACGGACAGCCTTGACCTGATCATCACATCGGACCACGGCATGACAACAGTCCACCAGAAAGCCAGCGACCTAGTCGAGTTCCACAAATTCCCCAACTTCACCTTCCAGGACATCGAGTTCGAGCTGTTAGACTACGGGCCCAACGGGATGCTGATCCCCAAGGAAGGGATGCTGGAGAAGGTATACAGTGTCCTCAAGGATGCCCACCCCAGGCTGCATGTATACAAGAAGGAAGACTTCCCCAAGAGCTTCCACTACGCCAACAACTCCAGGATCACCTCCCTGCTCATGTACAGTGACCTCGGCTACGTCATCCACGGGGTCAGTGGACCGCTGCACGGCTTGTGGGTGGCACCCTGATTCTATCTACCCCCTAGTGGCTGTCAGTCACCCAAGGGACACACTCAGCACTGTGCAACAAGAGTGTGTGTCGTACATGTGTGTGCGCTTAGGGTAAAGTGTGGGGATCCCAGGCTCACGGGTCGGGGAGGGGAGACAGGAAATAGAGCCCACACCAGAGAGGGAATCCCATAAGCAGCACATTTGAGCATGCACCCTGAACCGTGAACTCAGGCTGACCTCTCTATCCCACTCAGTGTTGGTAGGGCCTCCATGTGGTCCAGTTATTCACTGAGGCTCCATCTCTGGGGTCTCAGAATTCAGAGGAGTCTAGAAGCTGTCTAACCAAACAATGTAAATTTTTCCTAAAGTCATCCACCCACACAGGTGCCAACCCACTGGGGAGCGGGGAAAGACTGAGAAGGAGGTGGTGGGGACAGTGTGGCCCTCACTAACGACCCGGAACCCTTGCCCCTCCCTGCAGAGAATAAATGTCCAGTTCAACAAGGGTGAGCATGGTTTCGACAACCAAGACATGGATATGAAGACCATCTTCCGTGCTGTGGGTCCCAGCTTCAAGTCAGGCCTGGAGGTGGAGCCCTTTGAGAGTGTCCACGTGTATGAGCTCATGTGCCAGCTGCTGGGCATTGTGCCAGAGCCCAACGATGGTCATCCTGGCACCCTGCAACCCATGCTCCAATCAGGTGAGGTGGGGACACCCCTCCTCTGGGGTCCATGCTGGCATGTACACACCTGGGAGCTTGCAAGCCTGCAACCAGGCCACTGCACACTCCCCAGTGGGGTTGTGGAGAGAGAAGCCTGTGGGCTCATGGGGACAACTGGGGCCCTTGGCCCCCCATAAGCCTGTGGATTTGAGATACAATCCTCCCTCTCCTTCTCTCACTGGGCCTCTGTCTTTCCTAGGGTCTGCTCTCCCACTCAGCGGTCAGCTCCACTTGATGATGGTGTTGATGGGGATCCTAATGGTTCTGGCCAATACATAATGCTCCACTCAGTCAAGTTCAGAGGCCCAGAAGGCAGAGGTGGTTCCTGCTTCTCAGCCTGAAGCCCCCTCCCCCGCAGGCCACCTCCCCCCTCCCAGCTCCCTGCCCTCCCCCTCCCCCACTTCACCCACTCCTACCTCCAGCCCAGCAGCCAGAATACAGCTTCTGGACTCCACCAAACTAGTGATGCCTGGCAGTCAGAGAACTACTCTTGAGGTCCCTTCCAGCACAGGCTTAGAGGATCCTGCCACAACCCTACTGCCTTCTAGATGCCTCCATCTAGAGTCACCACTCCTTCCTGCCACCATCCCGAGTTCCTGTGGAGGGGACCTCAAGCCTCACACTGAGCTGGTTTGAGGAGAACCACGAGGCTAGTTGGTTCCAGAATGCCCCAGGAGCCACCCTCACTCTGAGGACATCTCAGCATGACAAGTGACAAGACCACCCTGTTTCTCTGTCCTGTGCAGTCACAACCATGGGCCAGAGCATAAGAAAGTCATTCAGTTCTTCTAGATACACAAAACAGGAGCCTACTCAACGCCAGGCTGGTGGGGCTGGGGCTCAGGGACACACAGCGAACGTGACAGTCCAGGCTGGGCTGTGGCTCTGGGGTAGAGCCCCTGGCCACATGCACAGGTCCTGGGCTCATCCTCAGAACCATAAGAAAAAAAGAAAGAAAAGGAAAAGTGGTCCTGTTTGTAACTTGGGGGCACAAGAAGGGAGAGTGGTCACCAGCCCACGCCAGTGCCCATGGAGATGATGGCAGAAAGGGAATGCCCTCGGGCAGAGGCAGGTGAGGGCTGCATTTAGGGTCCCTAAACCTGAAAGAGGCCTCTGTGGGGTGGGGGTGTACTTGGGGTGAGAGGCTAAGAGATAGCTGTGCCCAGCACAAGGTGAAAGAGGGAATCCCAGGCACACAGGGTTTGGCAAGATTCTGAAAGTGAAAGAAGCCAGTGAGTTGGAAAGCTATGTGCAAGATGCCTGTGTGCAAGATGCTTGTGTGCAAGGGAGGGTGTGTGCAAGATTCCTGTGTGCAAGGGAGGGTGTGTGAAGGGTTGAGCACCCAAGGGAGACTTCGGTGGGTGGAGTGGGACTCTGACCCAGGGTAAAGCACAAAACCAGTGAGGAGGTTAGGTCAATCCAGAGCCCAAGCAAGACACCAATCCAGGGCCAGGGAAGACACTCAACCCAGGGCCAGGCAAGACACCAATCCAGGGCCAGGGAAGACACTCAACCCAGGGCCAGGCAAGACAACAAACCCAGGGCCAGACAAGACTCTCAAGCAGGCAAGGGAAGACACTCAACCCAGGGCCAGGGAAGACACTCGAGCAGGCAAGGGTAGATAGAGGTGCTCTAAGGATGACAAGCTGAGGACTCCTTCAGGAGGCTGAGCATTCAGAATGGAGACAGATCCTGGGTGCAGGGGATAAGAGAAGACAGATGAAGGGCGGCCTGAGGTTTGGGCCCCAGAGTGGGCAAAGATGCCGGGAAGGGCGGAGGCCCCAGGTTGTTTTGATCCAGATCCGTCTTCCATGCCTGTGAGGCATCGCTTGAAGCCATAGCAGAACAGCACTGTGTGCCCAGGAGCCTGATGCCCACTGTGACTTGGGCTGGCAGTTCACACATAAGACTCCTCAGGAGAGTGATGACTTGTCAGGCCATGGGACCAGATTAGAGTCCCTTGCCAGAGGGCAAAGACGAGGAGACAGGGGACCAGTCTCTCACGGAGAAGACACGACCAGCATGTAGGTGGGAGGGAGGTGAAGAATGCTGGATCTAGAAGGGACCCCCAAGATCTTTTCACTCGACTCCCTCTTAGAGGTAAGGATGCTGAAGACAGCCCTCAGCTGACTAGTCCCAGCTCACCAGTGACAGAGCTAAGTCTACATGCTGTCACTTCCGAACCTGCTTCCAGAAGTTCTGGTCCCCACACAGGCAGGGAGGTGATGACACCCCACCGTGCCAGAGTCTGCAGAACATACTCATGGCCCTGTTCTTCTGCATGCCAAGGAGTGGGCACCACAGACACCAAACTCTCAGTCAAGGAGACTAAAGCAAAACAGATTAGGCAATTGCGTCCACAGAGGACTTTTCCCCTTAGGAGATGGTCATGCAGTGCGTCTGAGAAACCACTCCCTAGATAAAAAGAAAGAAGCCCAGGTGCAGACATGTAGCGCCTGCCCACTCTTGAGGTGTGAATTCTCCCACATGGCCGGAGGCTGCCAACACGAGGTCACTTCAGGGAGGTGCTGGCATCGGAGTACAGACTCAGCGCAGAGCTAAACACAGTGTCTTTCCGCCAGTTTCTTCTCCAAAGGTTCCACCCACACACTTGTCACTGGGAAAGGGGTGTCACCCCAAATATGGCAGCCCTCCTCTGCCTCTGGATAGTGTCTGACAGAATAGCAGGCTGCATCTCCTCTCCATCCTGAGGTCTGTGCACTCCAGAGCCAGGCCTGGAGAAGCATCCCCTTCACACTCACCCTCCAGCAGAAGCGGGGTCTAGACCAACCTTTTAATATCACAATACAACAGGTTCACGGGTAATTAAGTTACCAAAAATAATCACAAACAAACCTCATGTTTTAAGTATGTTTATGATTCTGGGTTGAGCAGCAGTCATCACTGTCCTGGGTGCATGCAGCTCATGGGGTCACAGATTGGACACCTAGTCTAGAGTCTCCATAACCACCACCCCCCCCCCAAACAACCTGCATGTATTTGCCTGGATCCTCCAGGATCCACCTGGGAGTCACGAGAGCCAGGAACTTTCCCAGTTGGCTCCCCTCCGACCTCATCTCTGCATCATCTCCTCCCCAGACTTGTATCTCCTGTGCCAAAACATGATACCTGTTTTTCCAAGAGGCTTCTCGAAGCTGTCCTTTGGCTGCAAGCAGGCTGTCAAACTCTTCACTAGACAGGCATGGACCCAGCCTCCCCAGATTACCAAGTACCCATTATTGACTGGAAATAAGACCACCTACCCAGGTTTACCACTCTAAACCAACTACCAGCACCTTAACCCCCTCCCTTCCACAAAGCCCTCCCCTGGAAACAGCACTGCCCCTGGGGCCACATGGGGGCATGCCGAAGCCCTGTAGGGCTGAGCCTGGGCAGGGCAGGGTACTGGACAGTGGAGGGCACTCTGGTCCCTGGTGCTCTGGTCTTCTGTCTCTCCAGAGCATCTGCAACTTTGGGCTTCTGACATCTGCCACAAGAGGGCACTGTCCAGCAAAGCACCCTGGGAATAGGGCGCAAGTCCCATTACTGACACCCAGACATTGCAACAGTTGCAGGAGCCAATGTGGGGAGAGGAACCCATAAGGGTGTGTCATAAATAGCTAAGTCCTTAAGACAGTGGCCAAACACAGCAGAAGCGGTTCATTCTTGCTGCAAGGTAGGCCCCTCTGGCTGGCCAGGCCGATCCTGGCACAAGGGTGATCTTCGCACTAAAAGAGGAAAAGGAATGAGGAGGCCCTTTGTGAGCTGACAGGGAGCTAGTGTTGTCCGTGGGCCACAGCGCTCAGCAAAAACATACAAGGTGGGAAGCGCAAACACAGCCAGGGTGACTGGCTCCGGGTGCAGGGCTGCGTGACCAGGGCCTGCAGCAGGAGACCTATTCATTCTCCATATTGAGAGCTGTGTCTGGGGGGCATGGCTTTGGTAGTCAACAGGCCCCCAACAGGCAAGCTCCCCTAGGCCTGGCTTCCTGGCTGGAGCTGATTCTCTGTATGTAAGTATAAGAACTGACCACTACCCAAGGGAAGACAGTGCCACATACAAGTACCCAAGTCGGCACTCAATGCGATGTAGACAGGGGACACCACCTTCCTGCAGAGGGCCTGTGATGGACAGGCCCAACTCCCTCCAGAATGACTCCCACTGTGACTATGCCAGATACACTCCTCAGGTGACCAACTGTGGGGCTGGAAGCTGTCCCCCTCCCCGATCTGCTTCTGTGCTTGGCTTTAACTTCTGTACCTGGGACCCGGCCTGACCTACCCTCCAGAGCTCCCTCCCTGGAGGCCTGGAATTGACCAGCCCAGCAATCACTTAGGTCCATTCTGGAGAAGACTAACCACACATACACACACACACACACACACACACACACACACACACACACACACACACACTCACACACCAACTCTGGCTCCAGCCCTGCCCTACACGGGCTTCACTCCAGTCTCAGACCCTGGGAGCCCGCCCTCGCTGGATGGAGATCTGGTAGAGCTGACTGACTGACATTCCTTTATCTTACTCCTGGGGGTTCCTCCCTGCAGAACTGAGCTTCTCCTGTGGGAAACAGGGCTGAGGTACATACGGAATCACCCAGAACATAGCCAACTCCTGGGTGCCGGGCAAGTTGCCAATTTCCTGTGGGTCTTAACTCTCTCATCTGTAAAATCAGGGATCGTAACCCAGAAAGGCAGCACATGCCTGTAATTCTAGCTCTCAGGAGGCTGAGGCAGGAGGATGGCAAGTTTGAAACCAGTCTTGTTTGCACAGCAAGACCCCGTCTCAAATAAACAAGCAAACAAGCCTCATGGTGGCCATGGTGATGGAATTAGAATTCACAAACATGTTTCCTAAGAGACGGGGTGACAGATGCCAGAACAGTGAGGAAGTCCCTACCCTCCTTCCCTTCAGGAAGCCTGCTTGTTTGTGAAGCGGGTTCCTGGCTCCTCCTCCTGAGTCAAGCATCTGCCCTTCACAGGTCCAGCTCCCCAGCACATGGCCACACCCAATGGTGCCACAACTGTTTCATCTGCTTGGCATTCCTGGTTAGCACCACCTTTGACAATTTACGTATGCACATTATTTACTGTTTCCTTTTAAGATGAACTCCAGGGGCCAGGGAGATGGCTCAGTGGGCAAATGCCTGCTTCCCAAGCCTAGGAGCCTGAGACTGGACCAAACCAGGACTGAACCAAAACAAGACAAAAACAAAAAAAACAAAAACAGGTAGAACGGTACAGGTCTGTAACCAAACACTGACA